ACCCATCGATAAACTGACACCACCACGTGAAAGACCACGTTGAGATTAGTCATTTGACCAAGTTTGATGCTTTTAAGGTAAACAGAGACCAAGTTATAGACCTTAAACATGGTTCAAAATCCACACAAACGTCTGCAATGTTGAGACAGCGTCCCCCAAAACCATATTAACTCTTAAAATCTTTTATGAGTTCTGTGATACTCTTCAAAATGGATAAGAAATTCGTGATTTTCATCTAAGCTTCTTTCAAATGGTAGGTGAATGACGGGATTTTGCAGTTATCATAAAACTGATAAAAAAGTTTTTTTCAGTTCTAACCGTCTAATTGAGGCCTGGTTGGCAAAGTACATTCTTTCTTTACCAGTTGTCAGGTACACAAAGCAATGTATAAAGAGGCATAATATCATGCAAGTGGTGTTGATGTTAAAATTTAGAGCAGCATGTTTAAGGTAACAATATGCATCCGAATAAGAAACAAAATTTTGCTTTTATCTCATGTAACAACTTATCATCAGGGGCGTAGCCAGGAGAGGGGGTTACACTGTGTCAAAGTGAGGGTACTCCCCAGGGCCGGGCTGTTCAAAGTCCGATTAAGTTAACTCAGGATTAGCGAGAATTTTGATTTCATTTTTATAGCTTTTCAGCAAGGTGTTCTCTTTATATTTTTTACCCTTCAGTTTTGAGCATGAGTAATCTCAAACTACACAAAAGATGGGCGGTGGACAACAGTTTTATAGAAGAAAAATTGTTACTCCGGTTAACTTTTAATCCTGGGTTAGCGTTAACCAGCTTTCGAACAACCCGGCCCAGATTGTCATGTCGTTTTCGCCATCTATTGTAGGTTGTTTTCTCAAAAAAAAAAAAAGGCTTGCAAAAGGGGGGTCACGGGCACCCCAAGACCCCACTAGCTGTACGCCCCTGATCATCGTCATACTACAAACAGTAACCTTTGGCATACGGCTGGCGCGCCTGAAATTTGAATTAACCGATCAGGATTCAGCAGGCACGGAAAACTTAACTGTCCTTACGTCAATGTTTGTTAACAGAAAAGGCATTGAAATCGGGCAACTTTTCTCACTTGAGATGGTGTTAGATACTCACGGAAAGGGATTTTCAATTGCAAACACCATGTCAGATTGTAAAAAGTGGGAAATATGAAGTTTTTTGTGTCTCTAGGCTTCTAATTTGGCGCCAAAAATGGGTCGCCAGCCTCCGGCATCTCGCTCGTTGTTCGTCGAGTGTCGCCAGGTAGGATAATAGTTGTGTTATTCTGAACAAAATGTACTGTTCCTCGTCAAGTTGAAACCGGAATTCTCAAGTTAACTATTAGAAGAGGCCAAAACAACTTTAGCATTGTCTTTAGTTTAGGTAGATGCGAAGAAAAAGACTGTTATCATGCCGTTTCAGTAGGACAGCTCGGTTTTGACTGCCGCTCGTATTGCGGGCGCAGCCGCCGTATGCCAGGAAGTGATATCATCAAAATAACTTAATAAACGAGTCGACACCGTATGAATACAAGGCCGATACACGAAACACAAAGAAAGGCGATGAACTTCTTTCTTCCTTCGACAACAGCAAACGTAGATACCGCAGAAGCTTCATAATTAGCGACAAGTTTTGGTTTAAGTTTGGTTGACTTTTGGTCTCCAACTTCTTTATCTGGAGACGCTGGTTCACTGACTGAAGATTCTGAGCCTTCGTTCGTTTGTTCCAGTGACTCATTAGGCATTGAACTCCCTAAATCTGGAATTTGAAGAAAAAGTAATGATATGGATACTGCTAATGGCAATGCAATGGCAATGGCAATGCAATGGCAGTGGCAATGGCAATGCAATGGCAATGGCAACGGTTAAGGTAACGATACCGAAAACGGAAACAGTAACGATAACGGTAACGTCAACAATCACGGGAACAGTAACGATAAAGGTAACGTTAGCGATGACGATAAAAGTAATGACTTTAACAGAAGAAAGAGCAAGAAGCAGGAAAACTGCACATCTCTTCCTATCATACCTTCCTTCCCGTTGTCTTCCTCAGGTCGCTGTTCATTCAAAGGCGGCAGTGGGTCAAATTTTTCGAGGGCTTTTTTGACGATGCGCTTGAAATATTTCCCCAATGGTTTTCCAACTTCTCGACGTAATTCTGCAAAAAAAAAAGATCTGCGGTAAATATGAGAGCCTTTTTATCTAGAAGTATTTTCTATAAGTTCTTGACTATACTTGTGGCTTCAATCATGGTAAGAACCTCATCATTACTGTGAAGTTAACCTTATCAAGAGAGCATGAAGGGTAATCCTTGACGCTTTCCTCTAACACCTCTTATAGGCCTTATTCCGAAGTTTGGGAAGCAATGTTGGCGCAGTGGTGGGTGCGCTCGCCTCCCACCAATCTGGCCGGGGTTTGATTCCGGTCCCGTGCCACACGTGGGTTGAGTTTGTTGTTGGTTCTCGCCTTGCTACGAGGGTTTTTCTCCTATTGATCTCCAGTTTTCCACCTTCCACAAGATCAGCATCTCCAAATTCCATTTTGACCAGGATGATAGAGGACCCCAAGAGATTATGAGGACCCGAATGAAAACCAGCTAAGGTTGAAGTGGCTTCCTCTCTAAATATTGTAACTTACTTTTATTTATTTAATCAATTCAAGTTATTGATAGATAACTATCAGTTCCTTAAATCCCAGGAGGGTCTGAAAATAGCCAATCCTGTGATTTTGCTGACGTGAACAGACTAAGGAGCTTTACACGCAATTTCATCCTTCACAAGGAAATCTTCTATTTTTTTTTCCTTCCTATACGACAGGTAGAAGGGCAAACAGACCAGAAATGATTACAGCTTCTTTGTCATCCCACATGCATTACACACCGAGGCGCATTCCTCGAGTTTGACTAATGTTCTCTGGACACTGACAATAGTTTAACATTGAATTTAAGAATATAAAAGCAGAAACCGACACAACGTAGGATGATTTTTTTGAAGGTATACGATATTTCAGCTGGCCAAACCAACCTTCTTCGGGTACAATGAGAATTTTACATTGGGATGTGTTTTTATGTAGCATATTTTCGTAATACCGGAAATACGTAAAACTAATTGACAGTGTAAAATTAAAGATAAGCATACGGTAAAATAAAATAATAAAAGAACATAACAAAAGGAAACAATTAATATGTAACACCGAAATGCCTTTCAGAACAAGACTCAACTCCCGACTCTACCGCGGTGAAAATGTATTACTCACCAAAATACTGAAATCGCTGACTTTAACGACAAAGACCACTTCCCATGTACCCGTCTCACTTGTAGATAATTCACCACCCAACCCCCCTATCCCTCTCCCCCAACATGCTTATCTATTAAGTCGAGTCCTCTGAGGAGTGTTGACAACCTTACCCCCAAGACGCCCTTTGGCAATCGCTCCAAGTCTTTTCGCTTCTTTTTTGATGTCTTCTCTGACTGAGAGCTTAATCTTGAGCTTCAATTTGCAGAAGGTTGATGCATTCACTGGTTAAAGAAAAGGATTTTAAAATCTTTAGTAAAATATCAAACGTTACAACGACCGCAAATAAACTCAACTCGTTTTTGAGGGTTCGCGGAAATTCCTCACCCGAAAAAACTGATCAGCAGATAAAGATTTCATTCGAAATATTATTGAGCCCGCAATGCAGGCGTATTTTAGCAGAAGGGCCCAGCGGTATTTCTCCGAGAAATGTTTGGCCGCCATTTTGACTTTTTGAAGTAGAAGAAGGTTGTGGAGAGTAAGAAATTCTACCAAGGGGGTGAGCAGTAGGCGAGAAGAATGAGGAGTGCAGTCGTATTTTACCGGAAGCTCAGTATTTCTTCGCGAAATGTTTGGCTACCAAATCCTGCCGGAAGGTCCCATCGGGACCAAATGAGCGGAAGTGGATGGTGGTTGGGGCAATTTTCTGAGGCATGAAATATTTTCTCACCTTTAGGTTGTGAATTGTTGTTTTTTTTGGGGG